GAAAGAAATACTTCTCATTGTTTAGCTTAATACTCAATTGATCTCGTATTTTAAAAAACAAACAGCAAAGACACATAAGAATAAACAAATAATAAACTAAACTAATTGTAGTCAATCCTAACTACTAATCGAAAAATAGTAAAAAGAAATAGAAAGAAACATCTATATCATAACATTAAAAAATTGCTACCACATCGTGGAGGCATCTTCGTCATAAATGAATAATATTTAAAAAATATATATGGTTGTATTTTGAATCCCAGAAACTAATGGAATAGAATTGAAAATTTGAAATTGTAATAATATAAAAAATAAAAAAACTCCATAATGAAAGAGCAGTTGGAGGATATCATTTCAGATATATTAACAAGTATCCAGCAAATCAAACATACTAAAGATTTAAAAGAAGTCAGTTTTATTACATATAAAACTCAGAATCCTACATTGGTAATTTCTTCCATTGGCTGCTCACAGTCACACACGAAGCTGGGAAAAGAATACCAAAGCACTTCAAGCACAAATAACCTTATTAGGATACATAAAAACGTAGCGTAATAAAAAGAAAAGTTTGAAAGCACACACTAAAGGACTCGTACCAGGGAGTTTAATCACTTGGTTTTTTTGTTATTTGGAAACGAGTAATAAGCCTGAATAGCGGAGAAAAGAAGCCCAAGGAGCGCAGCCAAAAAGCCGAGGAACGTCCATGGGCTACTAAAATGGGTGTAATAGGCTTGAGCCATTGGGGTCGTCCAGGGATTGTTGCAGTACCTGTGGATATTGTCTGTAGCATCCTTGTACATCGCCTGATCTGGCACCAAGTCCCTGCTCAATTTGTTGAAAAGATCAGCCACTTCTTCATCGCTGCCCAAGTAATTGTGGAGCATACCTGTAACTCGCATTTCCTTAACATCTGCTGCTGTGTCAATGAGAGAATCAAGGAAGTATAAGTAAGAGGTGACCGCAAAATCATTCTCAAAATCTCGACACATTTCTAAGGCTACCAAGTTCAAGAACTTGGAAGCTGTTGAGTCATCCACCAGGATGCGTGGCATCTTTAGGCTTCCCAGAAAGTTGCAATAGAAGGAAATGTTTTTCAGGTTGTCTGACTCGCTGGGTCTAACACTAATCCCTGATTCTTTGAGCTCCTTGACGCTACGAAATGTCTTCCTGTGCTCTCGGTTGTGTCCGCATGACAGAAGCAAGCGACCTATCATACTACTTCTACTCGCCTCTATCATTCCCGTCAAGTGTTTTGTCCGCAAGCGCTCCAGAAGATGAGTGTACTCTTGCTTTGCTTCTTCCTCTGTGTGTGGGCTCTTCTTCCCATCCCGTATATTTGTTATAAGGTTGTCACCGATGAATTCTGTGATTGATTGCTCCCATTTTGTGGGGTCTTTGCTTGAGTCAATCAATATTTTGAGGACCCGGTAAGGAAGTTGGTTTTCTAACAAGAACAAATCAAGTTGCGCAAATACCAGAAGATCTGCTTTAGTGTCCAACCTCTTAAAGTCGCCTTGTAAACCGTAGTGTACAGCAAACAACACCGCACAACCGTCCACGAAGAACATCCAAGCTAGTTTCTCATCGTCGTAATCCTGTATGTCCTCCGGGTTGTAACACCGCTTCAGATCCTTTATCTCTGCCATAATCTTGCTGAATAGAACTTCACCAGTTGTTTGGTTCTCTTTTGCGAAGAGAGCTGCGAGTTTACGCTTGGTGTGCTCCGCCCGCTCGAACTGCGGCAGACCATGATGCAAAGGGCCGAGGGCCACCAGCCTTGGCTTAAAATATTTCCCAAAATCTTCCTTGATACGGATCAGGACTGGTGGAACTCTTTGTATTAACGGTTTAGCTCTTTGAGATGAATCGCTTTCTTGTTTTTGGGCTTCACCCAAGGCTGATATCAATTTCGCGCTCTCGTCTCTGATGAAATCCGAGTGCTCTATCTCAGGCATTGTAACTCTCACTTCTCCAGGGTGCCTCTCGTTGCTGCCCATCCAATCCTACCAGCTTGACGGTTGAAAGGAGGTAACTCAACGACAGTTATGGGATATTCGGAAATCTAGTAGTGTACTTGGGGAGTTGCCCGAAGAAACAAGAGGACGAAAGGATGGAAGAAAGGGTGAGTCAAGTTTGTTTGTTTCCGCATGGCGCGAGCTATTGGGGTACCCTAGCCGCTGAATTTATGCTTTGCACTAACTAGGTGGGGATGATCTTCTTTGTACTTTATTCAGGTATCAAGTTTCGAATATATTTTATCTGCTTTTATCTTTGTAAAAGAGTGACATGGGGTTGATCTTCTTTGTTAAGACTTCATCCACGGAAAAAGTCTTTCATGGATAAGTGTTTTATCTTTCTTTCTCTTGTTTTTTTTTTTTTTGTCAATCAACTCAGCAAGAGAAAAATAAATGTGTAAATATATATATATATATGAAATATTTTCTGCTTACATTCAGTACTGCTCGAAGCCAAGATAGCTGTTTTGTGCTTGGAATGCATGATACTTTGGTTTCCTGAGATGCCAAGTTTAGTATCTCCATCATATTCTGGCCCCCTCTCTTTGTTAAAGTTACAGTTTATCCTACAACGTAATACACAATATGTAAGAAAGTGGCATGGTGACAGCTCCTAGCCAATTCACCTTTCTTTTCTATTGGTTGAACCAGGATTATGCTGTGCCTTGATAAGCTGTTTTTTACTATAATAAGATTCTTTTGCGGCTCTTTTTTCTTCAAACCACTTCGGACACTACGTGGCTTTTCAAAGTAGTGAACATTAAAAGACTTTAGCATTACAATGTTTCGATGCTTCCTTTAATTTGGCAACAAAAATTTTTAAATGAAACTTTTTCTATTTGAAATAAAAATTTAGGGACACGAGAAGATTTGAAGAAATAAAAAGAATGCATCAATTGGTTTCATTTATGTCTATTTGTCTTTGTTTCTCTTCCAAGGTCATTTATATGTTCTATATGACATGTTATCACTTCGAACCCTAACTTGGATATCTTAATTACAAACACATACACACACATACACGTACACGTACACGTGCACACACATTACTTCTTAATCGAAGTATTACATCAGTGATAGGCACATTGCTCATATCACCTCCAAAAACAATGTTTCAATTATAATTGAATATATATTCTTAATTTCAAATAGGTTTTGTTCTTTACCTCTCAAAAAAAAAATTTTGATAATAAAAACCTAATTAGTAATAATAATCAGTACAATGAAAATGAAAATTAAATATCAGTCAATAAAAAATTATTACTAGTTTTTTAAAGAGAAAATGTTTAATTTTTATATAAATCATTCTAATTAAATTAGTAAATGACTTTTTATTCAATAATTTTTTTTTCTTTTTATATGATTTCAATATTTTTTGAAAATTTGTTTTATGATATCACAAAATTAAAATCAGAGATATGCTACAAGTTGATGAAAATGTGACTCTGAATAACTTAATTGTGGTTGATAAAACCTAACTTACTATGAATGATCCATTCAAAAATCCGATTCGATTCGATTTCAAAAGTCAACAACTTAAACTCCAAAATGCTTCAAATCTAAATAACTTGAATGTCAAATCCGAATAACACAAACTTGAGATAATCCAAACTAGACTCGACAAATTGTCACTTCTAAAAAGAGGTAAGCAAGCGTCTCATTCTCGGAAATCCTCTACCATTATTTCTCAAGATTTTAACTTAAAACACTTTTAAATCAGGTCTCAAATTGTAGATTTTATGATCCCTTTGGAAACAAAGCTTATTATTATTAGTTTTTGAAAATGAAATTTATTTACTTTTAAAGAAAGATTTTTAATAAGTACTATATGCCAATATAACACACTGCAGTTAATTTGGAAAAAGAAAGGGTATCTCTTTTTTTAAAAAAAAAAAAAATTCTTATAGAAACCATTTCCAATTGCTTAGAGTTTTGGTTTCATTTGTTCATGGAAAATCGCTTTTAGAAATTGACTTTCTCATTTTTTTTTTATGTTATGATCCATCGAAAATCATTTAATAGTCGACGAAAATTGGACTTAAAATTTGAAAACTGTCTTCCAATTTGCAAAAGAGGAAGACAATTTTGAGATTAAATAATGCACTCTATATAGTTGTTGTTGATTACTTACTAATTATTTCTTTGAGAATAGTTTTACACAAAGTGTAATACTATAGTTTATATGATGTACGTTTATGAATTTAGACTAGTGTGACCATGGGCTAAAGTTAGACTGGTGTGGGCTGAAATTGGATTGGCATGGGTGGAATTCGAATCCGCAGAAGAAGAGTTTGAACTTTCCATCTCTTTTGGGCCTTCTGGAATAGGCTGGGTTATTCTATTACTCCTCTTGGGTATTTGGGTTTGGTAGGATTCTTTTGAATCGTTCTTGGGCTTCTAGGCTAGGTTGGGTTTTGAAAATATCTTTTTAATATAAAATAATATTTAAAAATATTTTTTTTAATATATAGGAAAATAAAAAAGTAAGAAACAAATGGAGGGGGGAGTAAAATTTTATTTTATTTTTTTAATATAATATTTTAAAAAACTTGTAAATTATAAGTAAATTTTTTAAAAGAAATTATCATTTTATTATATTTGATCAAATATTTATATTTATATTTTTAATTAAATAAAATTTTACTATTAAAATTAATTAATTATAACTAATCAAAACATAACTTGTAATTTATATCATTATATTTTTTATATAATATTAATATGACGTTAATGTAAGGTATAAAAATATCAAATAATAATCATTATCATTATAATACGTAAATATATTAAATTATTATTTATTATGACATATTATTATCAGGTAACATTTAATAAATAATTCAAAATTTTTTTTAGATATGATGTATTTTTCTTTCAATGTAAGAAAGCTTAAAATATCTCACGTGGCAACTACCAATCAGGGGAAAAGTCAATTTCTTAATCCTCCAGTGCTGCGCGACGGATTTATTCATTGACAGGGTGTCTTAGCGTGGCTCTCTTAACAACGAAAGGCCCCAAAATGTGTAAGATAAAACCAGAATTTCGAAATTAAACAAAAGAGAGAGAGAGAGAGAGAGAAAGGGGCATAAATCTCAAGCTAAACCCCCGTCGAAATTTGCCGACAGAGCACTGATAACTGAGAAATGGAAGCGAAGATCGGAAAATTTTTCGAATCGGTTGGCTCCTTCTTCGGTGGTGCTGATCAAATCCCCTGGTGCGACGGCGACATCATTGTTGTAAGTATACATTCAGCTTTTCCATGTCTTCTTTGAAAGTTTATCCAATTTAAATTGGATTATTAAGTATTCCGTTTATCCCATTGATTGGGTAATTTTATCATTTGGGGTTTGATTTTTTGCTCATCTCTAGTTTTCTTTCCCTTAGATTAAGAGAAAAAAAATATCAAAAGATTTTGAGTCTGTTGCAGGTGTATATCAATTATTAGGATAGATCATAAACACCCAGAGTAAAGATTTGAATTTCACGAGCAAGTCTGAATGCTTGCCATCATTGCAATCCTGAAGTACAGAATTATAAGAAAGTGGCAGGAAAATGCACTTTTTTTTATGTTTTTTGTCTTGTTAGACTGGGATTTTGGTTTTTCTTGGATACACGTTCGCTTCCCATTCATTATTTTGGCATTTGATTTTGACTGTCGTATTGGTGGAAGGGCTGTGAGAGAGAAGTTGCAGATGCTGCTAAGGGTGATTCGGAGGAGCTGAAGAGTGAAAGCATCATGCGGCTTTCGTGGGCACTTGTTCACTCTAGGCAAGCTGAAGATGTGCAGCGTGGGATAGCAATGCTTGAAGGTCTATTATTTGTACCATCTTCCCTAACCTAAGGTTTTGTTTAACACATTAATGTTTACTAACTTTTTGTAGCATGTACTGTTTCTACTACGTGACCTGTTTGTAATTGTATTGGAGTAATAGGGATTCAATATTGCCAACATAAGTATTTTGCAAATATTACTCATGCTGATAATATTATAGTTTCATAGGTGGTCTCTCTGTCTCAACTCTTTCCTTACTTTTCTCCTTCTAATTGCTATGGCTAATTGTACAATTTTACCTATGACAATGGTTTCTAATAGTTTTCTAATATCGATGGCTATGTTTTTGACTTGGCCCTTCTGTTTTTCTAAGCCTGATTTTGGTTTCTTTGTTACTTTTGTGTTCCTAATCATGAGTCATAGTCATGCTAATTGTCTTCACAGTGCTTGTTTAGTATTTCCATCGCTTCTGGTAATGCATCTGTCTAATACCTTCTATGCAATATATCTGGACCCTAGAAGTGTCTGTTAGCCCTTGCCTATGAGTAATTAAAGCATTAAGCTTTTCAGTTAAAATATTAAGCATATCCTTCTGCCACCATCTCTTCCAGCCCCACTTATGGGCCTTACCAATTTCCCTTGTCACCGCTTTGTTGTTTGAATATATCTTGTTCTTTTTTAATTTTCCTTGGTTCATTGGTTTGTTGCTTTCAGTTTATAACTTTATCTATTATGTTATGGTGCCTCAAACTCAACGATGGTTGTCTTTGCAGCGTCATTGGCTAATAGCAGCTCTCCATTGCAGCACAGGGAGAAACTTTATCTTCTGGCTGTTGGATATTATAGAACTGGTGAATACTCAAAGAGTCGACAACTTGTAGAGCAGTGTTTGGAGGTTTGTCTGTGTTTCCTTAACCCTTTTTCTATTCAAAAACAGATTCTTGGTGGTCTTGCATTTTACCTACTCTGAATGTTCTAGAGTTGATCAATGCTTGGTCAGCACTCTTTAACCCACAATATATTACCCATCTAAAATAAGAGAAACAGTGTAATGAGGGACACTTTTGTGGGGAGTACAGGTGGGTAATGGCAAGAAGATGATTTTTTAACCTTCGTTATTAGTGGAAATTCTTAATATTAATACCTATGCCTTTCATTTACCAAATTGATGAATTGATTTTGTACCTATTTTAAATAGTTTGTGTCTACCATTTAAATTGATTGTTTAAACTATGAATGGTGTCTCTTCCAAAGAAGTAATAATCAGACATACTCAACAAATATGAAAATTGATAAACATAATATTTAACAATAAATCTTATATTGAAAGCTGAAAAATGATTTGTGTAAAATGTTGAGGATAAAGGGATTTGTTCTATCATGAGAGTGCTGGGAAATGATCCCATTTGCCTATCCATTTCTCTTCTCCTTTCTTTTTGAAAGTCCATTTATTTTACTGTATAATTTTCCTAAATACATGGCATGATTTATTTGACTATAATAATCATTATATCTGTTGATAACTTTAGTATTGATATTATATATAAGTTATTCAGAGTTCCATTTACTTTGGCCTTGAAAGTTCTTAAAAATTGGCTAGAAAGAAACAATAAGAGCAAGAGTCCTTAATGGCAAACATCTTGGAAGCACAACTGAACTCCTAGCTCTACTGCCTGGCATTTCTTTAGTGGGCTATAGGCTGTGTGTGTGTTAAATTATTTGCATTTCCTCTGGGTTAGTGCTCTAAATTCTTCTGTGTCTACCCTCTAAAATTTTTTATAGCACTATGTTTTAACTTGCACAACATGACGCTGTAGGTCTGTGTCTTCCCTCTGTTAGAACTTTGGTATTTTGTCTTTATTAGTCCAACGCTGCCTGGTGTGGTGCATTTCTTGCACATTTGCTTTATTGAAACATTTGTTTTCAGTGTTTTATTTTGATTTCTTATTGTAGATTGCACCGGATTGGAGGCAAGCTCTTGCCCTGAAGAAGACAGTTGAGGATCGTATTGCTAAAGGTGATAACTAGAATTTTCTTACAAATTTTAGAGTTAATTATAGCATAGACTGAAGGAATGATGAATATATTTTGTGTTAATATAGATGGTGTTATTGGAATTGGCATCACTGCTACTGCTGTGGGACTTATTGCGGGTGGAATTGCCGCTGCATTGTCTCGCAAGAAATGATAAAACCAAAATTCTGGCCATGAGATTGCGCGCCCCGAGTATTTTGCAGATTTTCCTGGAAAAATAAGTGACAAAAGTATAGTTGTAACATCTCTTGGTTTTTAGAATGTATTGCTACAAGTGGTTTTGATCCGGTTTGGCGTGCCTAGCTGATAGAAACGAGAGTTTCGTTAATAGATATGACAAAGACAGTATTCTCTGCCCATAATGTAAATGCCTTTTTTTTTTTGGTGTTTTGTGTGATCAACTAGAGTAACTGTTAGCTTTTGCAGTTGCTGTCATGGGGAAAGTGCATGAATTTGCTACCTGTGAAAAGGTATACAGATATGCATGGACAAGATTAAACTGTAATTATTCCTGTTAGCATACGCTGATAGTTCTTTGATTAGGTAAGTCAGTAGTGCCTAAAAGGATCCAGATAGTAAAAAGAGTGATGCCACTCATGGCAGTAACGATGCCTCCAACGGCATAATAGAAAATCCCTCCTCTTCTTTCTCCCTTTCTGTTTATTTTTTAGGATGAAAGACTTGTTGCGTACGGTGCAGCTAAAACGAGATATTGAAGTTACAGCATATCAATTGCTGGATGCTTTCGCGATTGTATGAGTTTTAGCAACAAGGCCAGCAAGAGGGCGGTTGGCACCCAATGTTGAATAGGAACATCTTCGTTTCTTTAGCCCCAGCATGATTTTTATCAATGGTACCGTATCTCCAATTTCGAAACCATTTGCCAACCAACAAGACCCAAGTTGATCAAACGTCAAACAAAAGCCAAATCCAAAATGACCTGACACAAACTTAGAGAAACCCTCATCTGAAACGACATGAACCTGAGATTGATTCAATCTAAATCCATAACAATACAAACTTAATACTGAAAATTAAATCGATTGAATTTGCATAAGATGATATTTCACAAATGCAAAATTTAATTACCACTTTTATTCTCAAGACAACTTGACTTGAAAACGACGAACCCATCAAGATCCAAACTTGAGGCGATCTAAATCCAAAATAACCGACCTGAACCCGCCGGCTTGCCACCTCTAATTTTCCCTCATCTATCTCTGTGGATGGTGACGGAAGCCATTCCACCCACAATTCTTCTTTTGCCTTGAGTAGGAGTCACAACCTATTTTCTAAAACTAAAATATTAGTTCTACATTTTGCACAGTCAGCTGCTTGATAAAAGATAAAAAGACTTGGTAGACTCAATCAGTGTTCATAAAGAGTAAACAGATGTCACACGAAGCAACCAAAAAGAAGGTTGGCCAAAAACTTAACAAGCACACCTGCAACTTCCCACAGGAAAATACAAAGGGAAACTGCATCGCCGCATCACCAAACGCATCGGTAGGTGACATGTGACTGGGTGATCTCACCATCATACATAACTTTGACCACCTGACCCCTTTCATAACCATAATATCTTGCAATGGCATCTTTCTTTAACAATCTAGGAAGCTGGAAATAATTAGAAATTCAAATCAAATGCCAAACAATTAGTGACTGTAAGTCTGTAACCACCAAAACCTACCAAAAATAAACATAAAGATGCAATATTTTGTCATGCAGCTGCCCTAAAGTTTGGTATAGGTTTAAATCTTCACAACTAACATCGCATATATGACATATGCATGTCATTTTAATGCAACAAATGTCTGATCGACAACAACAAATCTGAAAGCTAACGATGACGTGTATGTAATATTCAACCAAAGCTCTGAATGTTTTAAGACTAACCTGTTTCTCTTCTATACTGTGCTTCTGCAAGAGCTTTTGTTTCTCTTGTTCTGTCAAGACCTGATGCTTGGGCTTTAACACATGCTTCGTAATATTAACCAGTAAGTCAGTGATCTGAGAACCAAGAAACACAAAGTAGAGGAGATATTAGGGGTACAAGAAGGTTTGAACAAGTTGCATGTTAGATATAAGGAGGCAAAAGGAGTTGGCATCCCACAACCATAATGGATGTAAAGAACTAATTTCTTTACTTAAATGTACAATGCCATGTAAAGCCTGTTTCAAAAGTTACAAATTTATCCATCAGAGATTTGACAAGGATTACATATTATCATAAGATGGAAAGATTATGAGAATTATTAACCAATTTCTAACAGTATGTGGTCTATAGACTAATAAAGACTAATACTGTAAATAGAAGATTTCTTTCAAAAAAAGAAAAAGTAACGACTTTCATTTTTCAGAGACAAAAAAACAATGATCAAGCCAATCGTCTATAGCTGATTGTCTATGTCTATGTCCAGAGTTTACTCCATTCAGTGGCCTAGCTGCTGTAAGGAAAGAAACTTATGATCTTATGGGGATAGAATCAATCCCAGCAAATTCCTTTGAATTGATAGAATTGGCACAGGAAATATAAGGTCAGTTGAAGCTTGCAGACTGTAGTACAATTTTTAAGCTTTACATTGTTGATAACAATATATTAGAGAACTTATAACCTATGACTAGCACTAGTAGTGCAAAATAACATCTCAATTTTGGTTAGTACAAACCATCTGAAGAAAAAGACTGTCAAGATAAGCCTCATGTTAGAAAAAAATGCATGTTCCTTGCATGCCAATGGCTATTTCTCATGATGTAATCTAGAGACAAAGATGTGAAAGCAATTCCAAAGGGATGTGGCACCTTCTGAAACTATTAAAAAAATATTTAAATTCAAAATTGAATCATTAAATGAGTATAAAAAGTAAAAAGACGCATATAATCTTGCTTTTAGTTCCCATAGAAACTTCAATAGTGAAATGCAGTGCACTCATTAGCAGTTTTCATCCTTCATATGCTAATCTTAAGCTCCAAGTCCAAAATTGCCACCACAACTAGGCTAAAGAGATCAACTAGTAAGCATGTTATCCCTGCTTTTATTATAATAAACTACTGTTTAAAAAAAATATCAAATAATATGAACCAAAGAGAGAGAGAAGCATTGATGTATCAACAAGTGTGTAAATGTATGAAGCAAGGCTTAGGGCATGCAGCATGCATACAACATGGAGGATGGATACAGAAATACAACAATTTTCAGGACATGAAAGGCCTAGCAGCCAAAGCTTTTGAGTACGGAAACATTTTCATGTATCAAATTGAATTTACAGAACCAATGTCCATGAAAGTAACAAAGACAAGACTTGTATTACAAAATTTACCTGGAATATCTCCACTTTAAATGAGAAAAGGTCCAGAGCCTTTAAAGCTTGGTTTGTTATGTGGTTTTGCAAGACTAGTATCAACCCAGTCAAACTTTCTTTGTTAGTAATTAGACCAGCAATGAGACGAATCCCACTAACTTTAACCATACCAGGCCCATAGAAAACTACCAGAATCTGCTAGGAAAAAATCATTAAGTAGAGAAAAAAATTTCCCGTTATATATTGCAGATCACATAAAGAATAAAGAATTACATCTCAATACAGACTGGCAGCAATTAACAAGAAAAAAGTTAGTACATCAGTACAAGAAAAAGACACAATCTTTTGATAGCAAGATATAAAATGAAGTGGTTGATACTTCAGCTTTGTTATCAGTTAATCTACATAAGTTTCTGAATTGTGCTCAAACTTCATAAGCCTCAAACTTCATCCAATACTTTAAATGAAATAGCAAACTGAATAGATGGCTGAAAGGTGCTGTGTCATTAAATGAGATATTGGACTGCCCAAAAAAAATTCTCCAACAATACTAAATCATAAAATAATAATAATAATGATGTTTCCTGCCCCATGCAACGAATTTGACATTGTGGAAGTACAGGACAAATCGCACTTCATTCTGGGCAGATGAAAGCCAATCATTCTAGTTACAATAACGCAATCTTATTTCAACTATAGTATTACCAAACATGATCACATATAGTGGCTGGAATCAATGGAAGACTGCAACCATAATGTACTGAGAGTAACATCAATGCAGATTTCACAAAGATCTATATGGAGCATTCTTACAGGGGCTAGCTCAGGTGGAGGGTTGGAGAGATCTTAGATTAAAACAGTAGCGCTCTATTCTAGGAAACACGAGATAGTAGCATCTCATATGGGAGGCAAAATGTGTAGTAATTCATAGTTTCTCAAAACTGACAAACTCACACTGAGACATGTTATGCCTAGTTCCTACATATCTTTTTTGTCTGAAAACTTACAAACTCAGAGAAAACAATTTGTAGGTGAAGAAAGGGAGAGATAATCATAGATTTTAACAAGTTAAAATACTCCATTAGTGAAGAAAAGTCTAGGAACATACAAACTAAAACCTATGGCTGCCAAAGTCAGGTGGCATTGTTTGTAAGTAGCAGGGTCTGGACATTATTGACTTAGGCCAAATTATATTGAACAATTTTTTAGGAACATGCAACCGAGTCCTCCAACTTCAAAACACGTGCAATAAGTAGATTCTTATCTAATAATACAATGAATCACCATAATCATATTTTTTCACCAAGAACAAAAATTGAGTAAAGAGCAGCCCCAACATAAAGCAAAGCCAGAAAAAAAGGGGGAAAAAAAAGAAAAGAAAGCATTACTTACCCGCTTCGAAGGGTCAGTTTTATGAGTAACAGAGAGTCTGAGACGATCAAAATCAGGGCTTTGGCCATAGATGGCTCGAAATTCTTGCAGGGAGAGGTTGATTTCAGAGATGGGTACGGCATAACCTCTGTCCCTCAGCATCTCCAGCACAGTTCTCCGTGACAGGTAGTATCGGTGACTCTCCGTGCTGCCATCGTCCACGATGCCACTCAAGCACTTCCCCAGAGCTTCTCCGTTTGACCCATCTCCTTCCAACCCATTCCCTTCCATTTTTGTCTTCCTTGTGGAGTGGGGGTGAACGTCGTGCTATGGTTTTAGGGGTTTATATCTGGGCCGGACTTTGAGCAGCTCCTTCAGTTAAATTAAATATAACATATAAATTGATAGTAAGTTGAGGTTTGGGTTTTAAACTCTTATCGACCCAAATCCTAACCCAGAAAATGGCCTACGCTGCCGGCCTAGAATGGCCCAACCTATTCACTGCTCTGTTGCTGTAACTTGGTGGATGTGTTATAATCAACGTTTTAACCCCCAAGATCAAATCTTGTAGCTTCTCCAACCAAAACAAAGGGAAGAATCAATAAGAACATAATATGGAGTGACTGAGTTTCTCCATTGACTGCAACGCACATGCGCGGGTTCTTTTTTTTTTTTTTTTGATGTTTCTGGGTTTACGACATTAATTATTCAACCATGGTCCATGGGGACGAACAGTCTGTCCCCTGTTTCGATTTTAAGAGCTGCCTGCCTTGATCAGTACTCCATTGATTTCTGCTCCGCCCATCTGTACTGTACACAGTATATTTAAAGATGATGTGTTAGGTCTATTTGGGTAATTGTCTGTTCCCCTTTATTGGCTGCACAGCACATATGCAATTCTTTTAGCCTTAGCCAAAACAATAAAATAAAAATTTGAAACGTGAAAAGAATGGATTAAGAGCCACTGCTTCCTGCAACTCTGTCAAGAATGGAACCTTTGTTGCTTTCTCTATTTTAAATCCAATCTTCATCTTTTCTCTTTTTAAACACAGTAACTCACTCACTTATCATGAAGCTTATCTATGTGCTTCTTAAAGGCTATGGTCTACATTTGCTCTATCCTTCTAATGAGACCTCATAAGATCATTTCAGATTAAGTTTATCACCTTTTTTATAATAAAAATCGAATTCTTCACTCTCGGATCGTTTCGAGTTAGTATTTTGAGTCATTCGAGTTTAGGTTATTCGACTTATTTCGGAAGTTGAGTTAGGCAAGTTTGGGTTTGGATGGAGATGGAGTTCAGATGGGTCCAACAAGTTTTTCGAGTCACCTTACCTTTGCCAGCTCTAATTGGTACTGAATATATGTGTCAAATTGATACCACACAGTTTAAACCTGTTAATGGAACTAATACCAGGTTCAGACCTTGTATTTGGAACCAGATTCACTAAAAACTATGGCACCAAATAGGGAAACATTTGAAATAAGGGTGAAATGGCAACCAAATCAAGTAGGTGATGAATTAACTTTCACACAACCAACATACACACACAAAAAAAAAAAAGAACAAGAACAAGACAAACATGCATAGAAATGCTTCACAAACTTCAAACAATTGGATCTTGAACATCAAAACTGTCACATTTTTATTTCATACAGCTCGGAATGACAATGAACAATAAGAACCATCTGCTGGACGGTATAGGCAGACCACAAAGAAACTAGTAGCAAGCAAGACCCTACTACAAATAGCAATTCAAGGAATTAGTCGAACTAGAGACATTTTTCATTTTATAATCTTCATCCACAAATTAACTATAAGATGTATGCATCCCCTAATATTCGTTTGGCTTAGTTATCATGAGCAACAACCAGGGCACCTTATTAACCCATTCTCATTGCAATCTGGACACCTTCTCAACTCTCCTTCATCTTCCTCAAATACCTTTCTGCTCCCATTACATTTGGGACATGGCACAAACCTAGCATCCCCACAACCTTCACAAACAATTCTAGGATCTCTAACTGGAAACCCATCCAAAAGCTTTGCCAATTCTCCACTCTCATTAAGCTGTTTAATCTCTTCTACACCACCAACATGCTTTCCCTTGATGAACACTTGTGGCAGACAAATTACTTTCCCTCCGAGTAGACTTTGCAACTCATTTCTATATACAGAGTCCATTGAGATATCCCTCTCATCTACAGGCACTCTAAATCCTCTAAATATCATTCTAACAGAACAACAATCCTCATAGGTCTTTCTTATTCCTCTTAAACTTGTAAAATATAATACAATTCTGTTTTCAGTGCTTGGCACTTTAAACCAACTATCTGATAATGAAGAACATGAAGGACTAGAACCCACAGATATTATACTTCTGCACTCATTGCTTCCTAACTGCCTGGAAGATAAGGCTCGTCTATAACTTGAAACCACATTTGGGTCAAGTTTTGATAGCAAAGATTCTTCAGATAAATGTTTCCATAATGGCTTTGTCAACGATGGCTTAGTAGGTTTATAATCCTCCAATTTCTTCACAGCCACATCAAGACTCTTACTGTTAAACGCGTTAGATTTCGATGAAAGCTCATCGGAATGAGTATTAACAAAAGAATCAGTCTTACCCAGATCAAAATCACAGTCATCATCAAGCCCATCCATGAGCTCCCAGGTGTTGATGACAGAATCTGGAGACAATGACTCCTCTTGGTCTGCATGAACTGGAGAGTTGTTGTGGTGCGGCGGTAGATTTGGCTGATGATCAGGGAAATCCTGGCTGTTCATTTCAGACGCTTTGGTGTCAATGAGCAGGAGAGAGCCATAGGTAGTAGATGTTAAAGAGACAAGGTGGTGGGTATCGCCTTTCCTGAGTGGCGGGTGGTGAACAAGAGGAGTGGGGAGTGAAAGAGCTCTAGGAACTGGTGGTGGTGAAGAATGCGAAGAAACCGTTGATTCTAGAGAAGAGCAAGAATATGGATCTTCTGGAGGATTATTGCTTTTGGTGAAAAGAGTAGTGTTGGGTCTCGAAGCAGAACAGCCCATGAATGAAGAATCTTTTGCTTCTCCCCCTCCAGACTGTTGTTGCCCTTTTTTGGATTATGGGGTTGGAGTTTGTAGCTTAAAGAGAAGACCTTTATTTTGGGGTATTTTTGGTTCTGCTTTTTGGTTTCCTTTCAGACGGAGAAAGAGGGAGAAAGGGAATTCTAGCGGTAGATCGGGTGCATTTCTGAAGGCTTAGAGGGAAAGGCAGAGAAGGAATGGCGTTGGTGGGAAAGAGCTGTCAAGAGAGTTAGGAGTGGGAGATGGTGACATTAATGCAGTTTGGAGGTTCGAAAGTTTGCTTTTAGAGTTTGAATTGATATGATAATAGACGGATAATGGTAGTTAGGGCAATTAGCACAAGACAACAAAGTTTGGATAGAGACAAAGAGGTAAGTCTCGTCCTAGATTAGGAGTTGTTTTGAGGTGTGTTTGGTCTTTATTTTTTATGCAATAAAACCACTGTTTCTTGGCTCATACTTGGTAACTTGGGAAACTCACAAGACTGAATGAGGTGCCTTTTCTCTGTTAGTATATTTTGTTTTGGATGCCATGTCACAATCTCTTGCTTGGTTATTGGACTCAACTAGATTTTGCACATGTAAATCCATAAAACCAGGTCTTGGTATTGAGGAAAGCAGACCAGGGCCAGCCACATTGTGTTTTCTACATCATGCTTTCTTCCAAACATCATTTTCCCTTCCTTCTGCTTTATGCAAGAATTTAACCATTTACACTAAAACATACTACAATACTAAGGAATTCTTTAGGGGGTATTTGTTCAAGTATTTCTTTCATTTTAATTTGAGTGTCCATCCTGTTATTTTAGAATAATTTAAAAATATGTCTATTTCTCTCAAAAGGAAAACCATTTTTCTGATATTGTCATCCATTAAATATTAACTTTAAGTAGATCCTCAAACTTTTATAACACTTTAAAAGATAAATTTTGTAAGTAAACAAAAAATGGATATCACATGAGAAAATTACAACTATTACATGAGAATTTATTCTATAAATAATTGAACGAAACACCAAATGAAATTCTCAATGTGAGTCATATTCATTGAATAACAAGCACTCACATATTACTTTAAATCTCCTCATACTTTAAACTATGAAATTGATTGTCCACTTCATAAATAAGGAACATAACCATATGTCAATCTCTCAATTTTATCAATTTTCAATCTCGATAAAGCATGGACTAGGAACATCTAGGAATAATGCTTTGGTGTAATAAGGATCTCACAATTATAACGCTTTATAATTACCTTTGCAAACCATACCTTCCACCATAGGCTTTATCTTATTAGTTAATAATAACAATTATAACTATAAAGATTAAAAAAAAAGGCCTTCATTAATTAATGTAATGCTTAAAATAAATAATGTATCTCTATACCCAATTAATTGGATTATAGGGCATACACTAACACTATCAATTTCTCACTTACTCTAAAGCCAATCGCTTATATATCTAATGCCAAACCCTTCCATGTGTTGATCATGTTTCTATTGGGACAGAGCCTCAATGAATGGATCCGCTACGTCATCATCTGTGGGTACATGCTCAATCTTTATGTCACCTCCCGAGATGATCTCTTTAATCAAGTGATAACATTATCTTACATGTTTGGATCTTTGATGATGTGGAACCCTAATTTTTATATAAGGACAAATTGGTAATTTGACCTAATGGTATAATGGACATTTCCTTGGTGAGCGTTTTATCCTCTATCTTGCATGATTTCGATTATTGATTATATTCCCTTCCATGTTTTCTATCCTTCATGGCCTTGCAAACTTATCTGTCACCATTGAAAGCAAAAATTTTTCTAAGTCTAGAAAGGACAAAATTTTGTGATTTTTGTAAAACAATTTAATGGAAATAAAAAAGAAAAAGACAATAATGGTTCTCTTGATATTGAAATGGCTTAAATGATTTTTCTATAATTTTAGAAATATGTTTGCTATGATTACTAAGAGCTCAAAATTTAATTTCAACCAAACTTTTTTTATTTTATTCATGGAACCAAAATTTATATTTAATTCTTTTGGAATTTGATTTTAGATATTTTTATTGGATCTGAATGAGGGGTTTTTGCTTACATTTATTTAAATGGAATTAAATGTAAATAACCTTAGGACTTGTTAAAGACACCTAGAGTGCATTTTGGACAAAATCTATCGATGCATGATGATAATGTATCAATAGATTCAACCCAGAACCAAATGTATCAATAGATTTGGAAATCTATCGTTATATTAAACGTAGATTCAAAAAAAATAAAAGTATTTCAAACTTTTCCTCCATTAAAACATACCCTAAAATCCCCAAAACCCCTCAATCGCCTTCATTCATCCTCAGCATGACTTTTCACCTATTTTTGCTCTCTTTTCACTCCATTTTCAATCCAAACATCAAGGATCATCTTCAAGTATTTAAAAATCATTCTCAAGCTCAACTTTTGATTTAACACACTCCTAGAGGTAAAGGTTTCTCACTTCCAACACTTAAACTTTTGATTTTGATTTTCATAATCTCTAGATTTCTGACAAATTTATTTTTAATCTTTAAACTGAAGGATTTGTGATGCACTAAACCTCACCAAGTTAAGGTTACAAGACACTCTAACTTGTTACCTCTTAGAACTCACTATTAAGTTAGATTATAGTTGTTGATTTTAGATTGATGGATGATTAAAGAAGTTTGTGGAAGGATAAATGGTTATTGTTAAGAATAGAGTTAGAGAACAAGATATTGGTGATGGAAAGTTGGATGTTAGGTATTGTTGAACAAATTGATATTTTGGGAGAACCAAGTTTTCAACAAAAAGTGTTATGGGAAAGGCATGCTTCAATGATGTGGGTAGATACGATGTTTTGAATTATCTTGATATAATTAAGCATGCATATCTACAAACCTTGCATAAAAATATATTTGATGTGAACAATAGTTTTACAGTATGTTTTGATTACAGCTATATATGTTATGTAAATATGTCTATTATGTACAAAACTACAAGGAACAAGCCTTTCAAATCTTTGATACCTCAAAATTTGATATTTATCTATGATTGATGAATGATTTGATGATCTTGAATCTTTGAGATAAGGAATGATTTTCCTTTAATGAGACCATAGCGTTTGGTTAATCTGTCTTTGAGATTATGGATTTGGTTGATGACCAAAATTTCGTTTTGTTTTAACCCTTGATCTGTTGGTGAATGGATTCACCCCTTCATTTGGAAACAAGCTTTTGGATATTTGGAAATAAGTAACATGTTTTAGTGGAGCCTATTTATGATAAGGACTTTTAGTTAGCGATAGTAGTTGTTAACCATTATGCATAATGATTTATTTGTTTGTTGGTAGCTAATAGAGTTCTACCCTTTTTGTTATATGGTAGGTGGCTATATGTACCAGACTGTTATAGTGTGATGACACTATTTGATTTGATTGTTCTTCTTATCTAACGCTCCATGATTTATCTGAATTGATATTCGATATATTTGATTTGGACTTTAGATATTTGTTTGGCTTGATGAACTTTGATTATTTGATTATGTATGGATATTAGTGTCACATCCCATTTTCTGGAGGGATTGTGACTAGCACTAGGACCTATTTGGATATGACCCATTAGACTCTAATAAGCCTCTTAACATCATTTTGTCATCAATCAAACACATTTAGCTCATTTGCCATCATCACCACCATTCATGCATAACATGAGTCATATAATCATAAGCATCCATACATAGGTGAATCACACCATTATGGACTTCTCAACATAAAGATGTAAACGCTTTCATTCATAGTAATAGTATCCAATACATTTCATATAAATTCTGTAAATTGACACCTCAAGTGCTCTCAAGGCCTCAGGCCATCATTCATAGCGTATAAATAACATTATAAAAAATATCTTGCCATGTAATGACTTAAGAGTAATCCTTAACAAACATTTATAAATGAAAAATTAAAGACCGACTTGTCGAACGGTACATGACTTGACTCTATAGGTTTTAGGAAGGCTGTTATATCACCTACCAAGAAGAAAGAACAAATCATGTCTTTCTAACTCGAGTGGCTGACAAGCTAACACTAATTTGTAACAATAAATATATGTAAAAAATAATGTATAAGTCATAAAGATTTCATGAGTGAATACAAGAAAGGGACAAGCTAAAATGGAGAATTTTTGCACAAATTACATCATAATATAAACATGATCTTGAGATAAACATCTTTCATTTTTAAATTTCTCATAAAATAGAGTTATCATAGGCATGTCTCATTTTCATAATGAAATCAACATTTCATAAACATATAGTTCATTAAATAAGTTGAATAATTATGAAAATCCTTTAGGAAAAATAAGAAAGCTATACGTGCACCCGAGCATTTGGCTCATTGGATGGTATATTATCCCTCTACTTAAAGAGTAGGGTTCAAATCCCCTTTTTCTTAATTAAAAAAAAATAAGAAAGCTATACGTTACTTGTGGTATCAGATCCTCCTTAAAGAAAATGATACTTAAGCATATAAACCAAACTAAGGGTGATTTACTCTAATCTTTCCATAAATTATGTGAGTTACTCATGAGCTCAAGAGTTTCCAAGAGAAACCAATTATAACATTTAGTGATCGTTATTCAACCCATATAAGACAAGTAAGCATTTTTCCTTTTTATATAACTCAATGATCATTTTCAATCCATAAAACTCAAGTAGCCATTCTTTTTTTATAATCCATATCTCAACCAATGCATTGGAACTTATTCTAACTATTAACCCATCTTAACTATTGTATAATTTAGAGTTTAATCTATTGTTCAATCAAACATTACAAACACAAGAAACATTCACAAGAATTGTTACCATAACAATGTAATATGCAATAATCATGAATGCATGATGCTTATTATATCTTGACCCACATCTAGGCTAGTAAGTGGCACATTGACCTCACTGACGTGGAGCGTTGTCACTATATAGTAGCATTTTACCTCACCATGTGTGAGAATTGCTCTCCTCATATCATGGTACGTTGACACCACATGTGGAATGTTATCTCACAACGTCTGAAACACTATTATCATCATATTAAACTCAATTCATCATGTGTGGAATGTTACCTCACACCGTGTAGAGCACTATCATCATCATACCAGAGACAATTTATCATGTGTTAAATGTTACCTCACACCATGTGAAAGCTCTAAGAAATAATCACATAGAAAGTATTATCTCATATCCCTATCTATCATCAATACATAATCAAAGTAAACTCATGCTACGCCTTA